TTGGAGAACTGGCCGACTTTAAGTTCAACATCCGTTATCGTCCAGGAAAACTCAATGGAGACGCCGATGCATTGTCCAGAATGCCTATGAATATTGACGATTATATGAAAACATGCAGTGAAGAGGTTAATCGCGACGCTTTCCAAGCGACTGTTTGTGGAGCAAAAGTACAGGTCGAACAGTTTCAAACATCTTTGCTCTTTCCTCCTGAGATTACTCGAGCGGATGTTAGTTTAAACCAAGCATCTATAAATTTGAAGACAGCACAGAATGACGACGCAGATATTGACCGCGTCATAACACTTAAAATAGCGAACACGTATTTGTCTCCTCATGAAAGAAAGCAGGAAAGCCACACTGTACAGCAGCTGTTAAGAGAATGGAATAAGTTAAAAGTGGGGACTGATGGAGTTCTGTACCGACTAGCAGGAACAGTCCGTCAAGTTGTACTACCTGGACGTCTACGTCAACAAGTTTATAAAGAGTTGCATGAAGAGATGGGTCATTTGGGTTCTGAACGCGTTATTGACTTGGCTCGAGAACGATTTTTTTGGCCTCACATGAAACAAGATATAACTCACTACGTCACGAAAGTCTGTCATTGCTTAAAGAGTCGGAAACCCGTAAGAAACCAACGTGAACCATTACATCCAATCGTAACCACCGCACCCTTCCAAATGGTCTCTATCGACTACCTTCACCTCGAAACAAGCGTAGGGGGCTATCAATACATCCTGGTTGTTATGGACCACTTTACGAGGTATGCTCAAGCTTACGCGACTCGTGACAAATCAGCCAAGACCGCTGCAGACAAACTCTATAACGACTTTATCTTGCGCTATGGCTTCCCTGAGAGGATACACCACGACCAAGGTGCTTAGTTCGAGAATAAACTTTTCTTTAACCTGGAAAAAGTAAGCGGAATTAAACACTCTCGGACAACCCCTTATCACCCCGAAGGTAATGGGCAAGTTGAACGATTTAATAGAACGCTCTTGTCAATGCTTCGGTCCTTGCCAGAAAAATACAAAAGTCGTTGGCGTGATCATCTCCAGAAAGTCGTACATGCATTCAATTGTACCAGAAATGACGCGACAGGATACTCCCCATTCCTCCTACTCTTTGGCAGACCCCCGCGATTGCCAATTGACCTTATGTATGGTCTGAAACCCCCACCTGGCCATAGCACTTATCCTGAATATGTCAAGAAATGGCGAGAATCGATGTCCGAAGCATACCAACTTGCATCTGAAAAGGCAGAAAAAAACGCTACGAGTGGGAAAGTGCAATATGACAAGAAAGCTAAGAGTACGAGTCTACAACCCGGTGATCGTGTGTTAATACGAAATGTGAAAGAAAGGGGTGGTCCCGGCAAGTTACGGTCGTATTGGGAAGACAAAGTTTACAAAATCGTGCGTCAGAAATCAAATGAGATTCCCGTGTATGAAGTCATTCCTGAGAGTGGCGGGGAGAAGACAAGAGTACTGCACAGGAACATGCTATTTCCATGTACGTATCTTCCTGTGGAGAATCCTATTGTGAAACCAGCTCAGTTAAAAAAGAAAAAGAAGAGTGAGAAGGAGAAACAGGTCACACAAGATTATCTGACAGATAGTGAAGACGAGTTCGAGATTGCTACGTTTGCACCTGAATTAACGCGGTCAGACCCAGAGGATGAATTCGTGCCAGTGTCGGTTGAAAATGAAGCCCAGCAGAGTGTTGAGGAAGCTGTACAAGAAGGTGCCACACCAGAAGAACCAGCTCAAGAGAGTCAAGCTTCGACTGGTACCACGGTAGCAGCGGAGGCTGAGACACAAGTTGATTCACACCCAGTTAGTTCACAACGAGTACGACGACCACCAACCAGCCTGGGATATGGCAATCTGGGTCAACCAACGGAACATTGGACCAGTATTAACGCGGTCCATGCACCTGCCACAAACAACATGTATCTACACCAATACCCTGTGCTCCCGACACCTCCAATACCGTTCTTTCCCCCAATACTTCCTATGTCATTACCTGTATTTCCATTATATTGGTCAAGTTGGCAAGGACCAATTATGCCATCAAATATATGGTGTTAGACACTGATATCAAGAGTTACGAAATCGGAAAACGAAAATTGTTGAAATTGCCATCATGTTGCGAATAATGACTGTTAGAAAACAGAAACAATAAAACTTTACAAGAGTTAAAGTTCCAGGAAGAGTTCCTGACCAACAAGAAGTGAAAGCGGGGCCCGAAAAGATAAAGAAACACTTAGTTTAGATTACTGTCTACGTTCAATATTTGTGAGTCTGATCAACTCACACAGTTGACCAAGAAGTAGCCAAGATGAGTACAGACTATAGCGTTAAATGTTGGGCTATATAAAGATAATAAGGACAGCTTAAATTATAGGAGGGGTGAGTGTAGGATGCCCATTAGCAATACGTCATGTAACATTAGTTAAATAGGAACTATTGCGTCATGCAGTTGTGACAGTTACCATAGTAACGAGAAAGGACAGACAAACAGATTTCCAAGATGGCGATTAGTCAACCACGTTGTTATTAATGTTCGCATTGCTTTACGAAATAAATTGTGCTTTCTACTGTTTTAATACGTGAATTATGGGATAGATCGAGAATTTAGTGAGCGGGCAACACATAAGTTACAAAAGATGATCAGTTGTTGGTATTACTTCGTACTACGTTAGCTGGTACAGCAGTTATTCGGGTTAACTCGATGCTGTGGTAGTTTATGCTCACATTTAATATTTTGCTTTATATTCTTGGCAAGGCAGTTCATGTAATAAACAGCATCAGTTTCATAGTGTATATTCATGTCAAATCATTTTGTTCATTGTAGAGAAAACGTCGAAGTGTGCCTCAGTTTATGGACCAAAATCCTCTAAAGAAAAAGAAGACCTGAGAGTTGAGACCGTACGAAAGAAAGTTGTTTCCCACTACAGTAATTGTATTGTATACACATGCGAACTTCGCAGTAGCATAACTGGGATTTTGCGCTTAGTCCTTGTGAAAAATCCCAAAATAAAGGAAGAAGGCTTAGTACTTTGTCGTCAGAGAAAACCACAAGAATTGTATTTATAATATGTTGTTGGATGTTAGTTTCACTGCACCATTCAGAACTGGACAATACTCATTGAAATACTGCAAGCGATATATATTTAACAATTAGTCGCCTCAGGGTCGGTGAATATTAAAGAAATAGTACTATTTTGCATTTTTCACACTGTTAAAATAGTATTTTCAGACAAAGCAAAGTTCACTTCAATTCTACAACGGAGATACTACCTTGAAATAGTTTTACACCAAATTTTGTTGCATCTTTTGTGCACTTTGTTATTTCTTCGTCTTTCACACTGACAAACCGGGCGGCCATTGCGCATTAGGTGATTATCGTGGAATAATCCGAAGTAGCTTTACCAATCAGTGGCCACAATTTTCAAAAACCACCTGACAGTGTGTATTTATACTAAAATATAATACCGTTTATTAAAATAACTCTTTTTGCAGTGTAAACTGAATTACCATGCAAGTTAATTACAAGGTGATGATAATAATTGACTAGCTACTTTATAAAACAATTAAAACTACAACTATATATATATATATATATATATATATATATATATATATATATATATATATATATATATATATATATATATATATATATATATAATCATTCATGGCATTCTAAGTACTTCATAGTCATTTTGGAAAATGTTATTCTTTTGCTGGAGAGTATGTTTATGGATTAACAAACCACACAAGGAAGGAATGGAGTTACTGACTTGTGGTATGAAGCTTGTACTTTTTAATTTTAACTGGTGGACTTGTATGACATGCTTGATTGAGCAGTGACACTGCATGCAGTACCGGTATATTATACTAATTGTAAATATTCTACATTGAAGAGAATGTTGACCTTTTATGTGGCAATGTGCTCTACTTTATTCTTTTTTCTGTCTAATGCCAGACAATTTTACTCATAAAGGAGAGAGTGCTGCCACTCAATGGGTTAAAGCCTAATTTCTGTAGATGGAAATTTTAAACAGTAACTATGTAATAAGTACTGCAGTGCCGGGAATGGAACCTGCTGGCCTGCGATTCTGAATAGCCCCGTAACAGTCGAGAGTCGATCAAGCCCTGTGAGACCAAGCGCCAAGAATCCATCAAGCTAACCAAGAGTTCATGTATACAATACTAGTGTCACCCTAGTTTATTTAATATACTACCAGTGACCACCATCATGGTATAATTGTACAGGAAGTTATGGTTACATCTTGGCAAAAGGACTCTTTAAGTCAGAGGGCTGCAGTAGAATTGCAGGGCTGCAAGTTCAATTCATGCTGGCAGGCTTGTAATTGTATTAAAACTGTCTGTACCAGTACCAGTGTGGGTAGTACCAATGTGAAATTGCTGTGCTGAGTGGTTATATTACTACCTGGAAAAAAAAACAAGCAGAAACTCAACGTTTTGCGCAAAGGTCCTTCGCTCGAAATGTCGAGTTTCTGTTGCTTTGTTTTTTTTTCAGGTAGTAATATAACCACGCAGCACAGCAATTGTAATGGTATTCCTTTGCAATTGCTCTCACATAGTTCTAAGAAACACGTGTTAACTGCAAAGCTTCCATTTGAAATATCCGTCTACAAAAAGCATGATCAGTCTGCTATTATTGCCTTACTAAAGTAGCCCATATTTAATATTTGACTAATTCCAACATTCCTGCAATGCATCATATTTTACACAATCATGTAGTCATGATATTATTCCAATCAAAATTTGATCTTAGAACTTCATTCAGAGAATGTTATTGAGCATAAGATTGTATCATTATATACTAAAGCAAATTGTGTTTCCTGTCATAATATACCTAACTTGTAGGAAGAATAAATTCTTTTGACTTGAATAATGTCTTTATTGATTTCTAAGGTTAGTTAAGGTCTTAAGTACTTTTCTTTACTCCAATATGTGGGAGTCATTTTGTCTACAATTTCCCAATGATTGCATGCATTATACAGGTACCGGTAGCTCTAGCTTATTTAATTGTCTTATTATATTGTATTGATATATTTTTTATTAAATTCCATGTCCAAAAAACAATAAAGTCAGTCAATCATGGCGTTGACAAATTTTAAGCTCAACAAAAATTTGACTTTTAAGTTCATTTGTTATCTATTTTAAAGCAGACAACTCTGAAATATCACCAAATTCAGCTCTCTAAAGATTAATTTCACTTTTGTGCGACCTTTAACTTTAATTTCAACGAATACGGCCTGCTTGATATACAGCATCAAGTACAATGTCGAAATCAAACCTTAGGATGTCGTGGGCTGGCGATTATTCATCACTACAGGAGTTCGTTGAAGACAAGTTGTGTTTAGTTGGAAAATGGTCATCTATTGGTCGCGAAAAGAAGCTGTTCGAGGGGGGAAATATTGTGATAAATTGGTGGAAAAATAAAAAAAGTATTTGGCAATCTCCGGCGAGAAGGCAAGTGATATTGTACGTAGATTAACAACATTGTTTATCGACACTTATATATTCGACGATCATTGCACTGCCGCAGTTGATGTTGAGAATCCGATTAACAATAACTGTTCTTGTTTGCGTGTGGAATCTACTGTTTAAACGGAATGCATGAAAAAAACTGCAATGTTGTGGAAACCGCAAATGCTACAATTAACCCAAATATGACAAATATTGGCGGAACTGTCCACGGATTTTGAGGGTATAAAACTTGACCTAGTGGTCAATGAAAGGATTATTCTTGATAACACTTCCCGTATTAGCAAGGTCGAAGGTTTATTGGCGAGATTTCAAACCGAAAACGAAGAAATGAAACGCCAATTAAGTAGTTTTGAAGCAAAAATCACTGAGCCGTTGAAGTGCCTATATCACTTGTGGGATCTTTACGGATTTGAAAAGAGCGCAAAAAGTTATATAACAAGTTTTTCAACCTTTTTTGATTTAGTTCAATAGTTTCTGAGATATAGGCCCTCAAGCATGGCAATTTTGGCATTTTTTGAAAAAAATCCGTCGTACTAAATTTTGCTTGGGGGACTGAGACTCAGGAACGCGGGCGTAAACAAACACTATAGATTATATTGCAATTTGCCAATATAACTTACTAAAATGATAATTTTTGCAAGAAAATTCGGTTTATTTAGCTTAAAATCGTTTCCAGTACTGACAAAAGTTCATATACGATCGCGCTAAATAAAAAATCGTGGTGAAACGCACAAAACGACTTCAAAATCAAATTTGAAAGTGAGCCTTCCTAAATGTCGTCAAGCATCGCCGAGCATGAAAGAGTTAGCA